CAAAGCTTCAAGGGCTTACTGGTAGTCATGTAACAAAGCTTTATATTGGTCGGTAAACTTTCTATCGCGCAACCACGTGACATACACGGTTATGAATAGAATTACCGCACGGTGTTGTAGAGGGAGGAATGTCCGAACGGAGCATCACCGTGCAGGCGGACGATGGACCCCCGGGGGTTCGCCAGCTTCCACGGGGTGGGGATCGTTTGGTGAATGTATATCACCACAACTGAGGCAGTGCAGGGATGGAAATATACCAGTTACGAATACAATAAATTAAAACAACACAATATATAAGGTTTCCTTCATTTTAATAAAATAAATAATAGGGGTACTGGTCACTGGAAGCAGCAAGGAGCAGGATACACAGTAAACAAATAAAATTAGGGGCTTGATCGATGCTGCTGGGAACACTTCACTCTCCGGTGAACAGCAATGTACAATGTTGCGTTCCTTCGTATCTGGCACGCTGTCAAAGCAGCTGCACCACAATTTAAACTCGTGCTCTGTGTCCCGGGAGTATCGGTAACTGCACTGCTATCTGCTGCTACTAGTAGCACCAGTACAACCTGAACGGGAGCCATTCGGGCAGTGAGTGTCAGTGCTTCCAGTTGATCAGCAGGGATTACTGCACAGCACGTCTGTATATGTACCTCAGTATTGGGTACAGCTCACTGGAGTCAAGAATCAGCATCACAGAATGTTGCAGGATCAAGTCAGGTCAACTTCCTGACTAAAGATTTTCACACTTGTCTCAACTTAAATACTACTACTAAATTATGGCCATGCAAACAATAAAATATATCCAACGAAATGATTGGTTATCTCGAAATAGCAGACAAATCATTGTAAAAAGGATGTCAATTTTGGTAGTGGAATAACCACTTTTATCCAAGCTCTACCAATTTAAAGTAGAAGACTCGGGTCAATCATGTCATGTCTATTTCCATTGCCAACAACGCTGGGCTCAGCTCATTCCATGTATTTCACAATCACAGCACCACTGTCTGATACATATACCAT